CCTGACCCCCACACCCCCCAGCCCCGCCATGGCGCGCCCCCCCGTGCCACGCTGCCCATCGCCGCGGCTGCTGGTGCTGACCACCTGCCTGCTCCTCTCCTGGCCCTCCGGCGGCACAGGCAAGAAGGCGGTGCACATCGGGGCGCTGTTCCCCATGAGCGGCGGCTGGCCGGGGGGGCAGGCCTGCTTGCCCGCTGTCCGCATGGCGCTCGAGGATGTGAACAGCCGCAGAGACATCCTGCCTGACTACGAGCTGCGCCTCATCCACCACGACAGTAAGGTGAGCAGGGGGTGCCAGGGGGCATGGGCTTGGTTTGGGGCAGGAGAAGGGCGTGGGGGCAAGGGGCCTTGGACACTGGGCAGGAGAGGGGCATGGGGGCACTTGGATGACGGGCATGGGCAGGTGCACTGAGGTGAGGGGCATGGAGGCACTGTCAGGAGTTGTTTGTGTGGGCACAGGCACTGGCATAGATTTGGATGGGGCACTGGCAGCAGAGGCATGTGGGGCACTGACAGGCCAAGTCAGGGGGCACTGGCCTGCAGCAGGCATGGCTGGCAGGGAAAGGACACAGTCACAGGGTGGGGGGAAGCCGGCATTGCAGGCACTGACAGAAGATGGGCACAGGTGGCACTGACAGAAGATGGCACGACTGGAAGTGGAGACAAGAGGTTGGCACAGGGGGCATCACTGGGATATTGGCACAGAGGGCAGCAACCGATGGTGTGGATGAGGACACGGCTGGAAGTTGGGCCTGTGAGGTATTGACCGGAGGTGGAAGCTGAGAATGGGGCACTGCCAGGATTTGAAGGAGGGCACTGACAGGAGGTGGGCACAGAGCATTGATTGGAGATGGCACACTGACATTGACAAGACATGAGCACAGCTGGCAGTGACAGGAGTGTTCAGGAGGGCACGAGGTGCTGATGTGGCTTTGGATGGGGACATCAATAGAAGACTGGCCTGGGAGAGGGGAGTGGGGCACTGAGGCACTGAGTGGTGTGGAAGTGGGGTGGTGAGTGATGCCAGGAAATGGGCCTTGGGAGATGACAGAGCATGGGTCTGGGGTCACTGGCAGAGGATGCGAATGGCAAGGAACCTGGCACAGACATCACTGCCCAGAGACTGGCTCAGGGGCACTGGGAGAAGGAAATGGGGCATTACCTGGGGAATGACTGGAGACGGGAGTGGAGGCACTGACAGGAGATGGGGATGGGGAAACTATGGAGGGACAGGCATGCTTGGTACAAGCAGAGGGGACTGATAGGAGATAGGATTAGGGACCCCTATGGGAGAAGGGCACTGGGGGCTGCACTAAGAAGTGGGTAGGGGGGCACGAGCAGGGAAAGAAGATGAGGGTATTAATTGAAGGTGAGCACAGGGTCTCCTGTATGACAATGGCCTCAGGTGCCCTGCTGGAAGACAGGTGTGGTGGGCACTGATGAAAGTTGGGGCTGTGGTCACAGACAGGAGGGGAGCACAGGGGCACTGGGGGCCAATGGCAGGTGATGGGGAGCACCATTGCCAGGAGATGGGCCAGGGGCAGTAAGAGGAGATGGGAATGGAGAGCACTGAGAGGAAGCTGGCACTGTGGAGACAGCGGGTACAGGTGAGATGGGCAGGGGAGGGGCCAGGGGCTAGGGGTATGGCACAAGGGCTAGTAAGTGTCCCAGGCCTTGGATGCCCTGTGTGAAGATGGGCAGGGTGGGCAGTGCTGGAGGACACTAGTAGGGGGGCTCTTGGAGACATGGGCTTGGATATGGGCAGGACAGCAGATAGGCCCAGGGCATGAAGAGGAGATGGGAACGAGGCATCGAGACTTCTCCAGTGACATGGAGGTGGGTATGGCTGGCAGTGAGTAGAGGTGGGGATGGGGCACTGATGGAGGGTGGACATGCAGGGCAGCACAGGAGATGAGCCCAGGTAGAGGAGCACAAGAAGGGGCCAGACAGGCCTATGGCTCTGTCACAAGTGGGGCAGGAGACGAGCCCAGGGCCACTGAGAGCAGAAGGGCACAGGGGCCCTGCCTGGAGCACGTGCTGCACACACGTGCACAGGGATGTGGGCACAGGGACAGCGGGGGACAGGCACAGAGGCACTGACTGAAGCACTGTGTGGGGTAATGCCAGGTGCTAGGGCAGGAGGATGCTGCCTTCGCTGGGAAGGGACAGAGCGCATTGGTGTCTCCAGGAGGGACGGGCCAGGGCAGGGATCTGGGAAGACAGGACTCCTGGGTTCTGTTCCCATAAAGTCTTGGCAGGATGCCGAAGGAGACTTGCTCTGTCCCTTTACGTCTGTCTAGTACAGAACTCCTTGTGTAGGGTCCCTCTGTACCCCACCCCCACTTCCTCCCAGCACATGCTGGGGAGTGCACACAGGGAGCAGTGGGGAAACTGAAGCACAGAGCAGGAACATCACTCAGTTAGTCCTGACTCTTCATGTAATCCCCTAGACACAAGTCCTGTCCCAGGGCCTGCAACCAAATCCTGGCGCCCCTTCTCCCAGCTCTGTCCCTGCGCTGTGAGCCGCTCAGTCCCGTTCTCCCTCCACAGCTGGGGTAGAGCCCCGGGGTCCGGTCTCCCGCCACCCCACCCCCTGCATAGGAACCCAGCCCCTCCTCACAGCACCCAGCAGTTTGCCTGTCCCATCCCATCCCATCCCATCCACTGCTCCCTGTTCCCACCTGCCCCTCCTTGCCTGCCCATCCTTATGCAACCCCTCTGCCTGCCTGCGTGTGCCTGGGGCCCTCCCCTGCAGCCCCTCACTCTCCCTCTCCCGCCCCCCCATCACTGGATTTCCTTTGTCCCAGATCTCCGAATCTCTTCCTCCCCAGCTGCCCCCCTCCGTGCTTCCCCGCTCCCTAGCGCTCACAGGTTGCCATGGCAGTGGATGCTGCTGTGCCTGCTGATGCGGTTGTCATGGAAACTGATCAGCGCGCGCGCGCGCTCTCTCTCTCTCTCTCTCTCTCTCTCTCTCTCTCTCTGGGCTGACATGTCCTGAATAATTCCTGC